TTAAAAACAGCAACAGGAGAAAACATAACCTGTAGCAGAGACATGGTCAGTTATCTCAATTCTCTCAGATGCTGAGCATCCTGGAGAAAGGGAAGAAGGACAGAGAATGATGAAAGTCACAGCTCACAGAGCCCAGGGATTTCTTCACAGGTTCAGTGATGTTAAAGAGCAATGCAGTCTGCTTTTTTCTTGTGACTATTGATGTTTAAAGCCAACAACTGCCAGCTCCAAGGTCCTGCAGTTTCTTCCGCACACTGGGCTGGGAGAGGAAGCCGGGGCTCACAGGAAGTGCTCTCTGGCCTCCTGTGCACCTGTTCAAGGGTGCACCTGACTTCATGCCCCCTGATGGAACACTGACTCCCTACAGCATGCTGGCCCCAGGCTGATGGTCAGAGCATCATGATGGCTCCCTTTATCCAGAACAAAGTCCTGTCTCACAGCCAATCCATGACTTGGAAACGGGGAAGAAAAGACTTCAGAATAACATAATTTTCTGATAATTTCAGACTATGCTTTAAATTATTTTTGTTTACTTCTGCTATTAGCATGATAATTACATAAACAATGGTGAATTCTTGTGCCACATGAAGCAGTTCCTCTACTGAGCATTTAGCTGTTGCTCTTTCCAGATATTGATCTCTCCTGTGTTAGATGTTTCAATATTTCTCATAATGTCAATTATGATGGTAAATAATTTCTGGTCTGAGGGGGCACAGATCTGTCACAGTCAGTGACATAGCTTAGAGACTTGGAATTAGATGTTTCTCTCCACATCTCACACAAGACAAGAGAATGGACATTTTTGTCTCTTGTGTCCTCTGTGATTCTATCTCTCTCTGGCATGAACTCACAGCCTCATTCAGAATTCTAATGTGTGTTTTCTCCATGGGAGTGTATACAGACGTATTCACTGTACCATTCATAGGTTTATTAATTTTAATTCAAATCTTTGTTTCTCATTTAATTTTCTAGCTTCATCAAGTCCTAGGTTTGTGTGAAATTCACATGAGCAACCATTTATGTGAGCAGAAACCTGCCAATTACAGCGTTCACAATGCTGGGGAGACCCCAGCTCTCTACTTCTGAACATAGCTTCAGACACAAAGAAATCCATGCATTCCCTGTGCACACACATGTTCCCAGGTCCCCGTCCTCACTCAACAGTGCTTCTCTAGGATTTATCTGTCCTTGATTATCACTGAGACTGAAATGTGGTGTATGAGATAATAGTCTGTGTTTCTTTTCACGTTCAGTCTCTTCCAGATTTATCTACACTGTGACATGGAAACTCCATGCTACCTGTTGAGAGACAACATGGTATTTCATGGAAATGCCACACTTATTCAGACATTCAACCATTGATGGTTTCTGGAGTAGAGTATCATAGACTATAAGGCAAGGACAACCTGTGCAAAAACTCTCGTAGAAATTACAAAAATTGTTATTTTATTCCAAATTCCAAAAATGAGGCAAATTGATGAAGCAAATGCTCTTTTGTTTTGGATCTTCAGACTATTTCTTCAAGTCCACTTACTAATTCCTTTCATTCTCTCTTTCTCTCTCTCTCTCTCTCTCTCTGTCTCTCTCTGTCTCTCTCTCTCTCTGCCTCCCTTTGTGTGATGTTTTAAAGTCTTGTGGATTTGTGCAGTTGTGTACACAGATGAGTGTGCTTGTGTGTATACACACATACAGAG